TGAGAGCATAATCCTGATGATCTCTTGGACTAGCAGTGATTCACAAGAGCAGGTAACACTAATGTAAAAAATAATCTCACTTCTCAGGTGAAAAGTAAACAGTATTACTGTTTGTGCCATGTGTTAAACATAATGACCTGCTCTATGGCAGCGTCTGAGAAGTTACAACTAAGAAGGCAGTGACGCTGAGCGGGTTAAGCAGGAGCTTGGGTGCCAGGAGATCCTCGCACAGTCAGTTCTGCTGCTCATGCCCTGGAAGCCTTGTGGGGATTGCTAGGCTGCTCTGTAACTATTTCTCAATAGGAAGAAGAGGCATTGAAAAGTGTGGTGAGGATTAATTATTCTGTTAGTTCAAATGCCTCAAATTAGTTAACAAATCAAATGCGTTTATTACTGTACAGAAATAGTTTCAGAAATATTCCTAAGCCTTAGGGTCCTAAATTAATGTGCAGTGTTTACAGTGCTATGTTAGTGTCCTCCTTCTGTTGGCAGTGGACTCCATGGGGTGCTTTTCCACCCTGCAGCTTAAAAAAAATCCTAGTGCAATACGCAGCAAGAGGCATTCAGGTCCCAATTACCTATAACCTCTGAGAGGTTTCTGCTTTTTTTTAATTTCAAGTCAGTTTCTCTTTTAGTTCTAAGATCTTGTCCTGCAATGTGAAAAAACCCAAAACATTGCAGTCTCTGTAAATATTTGGAAAAGCAGAAAACACTTTTGTTCATTTCTTCTTGCTTCTGTTCCCCTGCGATTGCATAAGGCAGGGGAGCCCCAGCCCCGGCATCAGTCTCTGTGACAGACTGAACACTTCCACTTATGAGGAGATTTAGTACATGTTGATGAGAAAGAATTGGGAGGACCCACAGCAGCACGGTTCTGCTAAAGTGTACGGTGGAAGTTAGACAATGTGAGTAGAAATGCCTAGTTTTTGTTGTTCAAGCTTAGAAAAGCGCAGAAAAATGCCATCAATAATGAGGAAGAAATTAGATGACAAATTTCAGTCAGAATAGCCACAGTTCTCATCAGGGTGAGTTATGAACCTTTTCTAATCTAATTTTGAGGCTTAAGAGCTTCTAAAGAACCAGGTAATATGTTTAGCTGGCCTGATCCAGCTGTCCAAAGGTAATTAGAAAAATTGTTATTGCTCATCTGTTTATATCCCATCCTTTATTTGGGTATTACAGTATAGGCTGGTGGAAAGGGGAGAGAATCAGAAAGCCGTCCCTTGCGCGTGGGTATCCATTTCCGCTCACTGGCATTTCTGCTGTTCGCTCTACCCATCCGGCATGCCTGCACTAAATCCTCATTTAATAGACTGTTACTTCAGTGATTTGCAGGCCTCCCATGTCATAAAGGAGAGATTTTGAGGTTTTAAGTTCATAAGAAGTTGAGGATTTGGGGACAGCAAATAGTGTCCTGAGATACTGTGCATCTAAGCCCTCAAATCAAATCTGATCTAGAGCCAATAAATGGACAAATGAAGGAATAATCCTGGAATTTCTATGAGCTGAGGGATAGTATTCAGCTAACAGAGAAATTCAATGGCCAGTGAGGATGTTACCTGATAATACTGAGTGCTTCTGGAAATGTCATTCTGTGGTTAGCTGCCTGCAATAACACTTTGCCTTACTCTGGAGTCTTTTATCTTGGGATACAAAACGGTTGGCAAACATTAATTAATGAAACCTTGCAATGTCCCCATGGGATTTTCAAGACTTTTATCGATTGTGCATCTGAGAAAAGGCATTAAAATGTCCAAGGGTCACATAGGGAGTCTGCAACAAAGTTGAGTCTAGGACCCTGGACTGTAGGCTGTGCTGTAGAGGAGTAACAGCACCTCAGCAGGGCATCTTCTCCCTCTCTGCCAACAAAATCTGTCTGTATAGAAATGAAGCAGAGGTTCAGGAGAGGAGGAAGATGTTTAAGAATTTGTGAAGAAAAGGCTAAAGTCAGATACTGAATCTGATCTGTAGCTTGCTTGTTTTATGCACAAGTGAGCAAATAAGTCAGAAATGTCAGAAAAAAGGCTGGAAGGGATTTCGGGGGATCTCCTGGTATCCCTCTGCCCCAGGAGAAGGGAGGTAAGGAAGCTCATTATACCTGAGCCACTCCTGACAGTGATGTCTCTGTCACCGAAAGTTTTAAAGATAGGGTTAAAGATACATTTTTCTCTGTAAACAATCAGTTCCAAAGTATAACTGACCTTGTCAAGAGATGACTTTTTCTAACGTCTGAATGTCTTTTGCTGTAAATTAAAACATTTCTTTTTCTCCCTCTAGTGGATATGGAGAGCAGTTTATTATCATAGTCACACAGTGACTTTTTGTGTCGTCACTGAATGACACGTTGTTACTACAGGCTTGCTATAGACATCACTAGTGCCAGTCACTGGGCAGAGTAACCTGGCCTAAGAGTTTTTCCCTAACCCTGAAGAAGTAAAAAGGGCAGTTCACACCTTTAAGTATTCCTACCGATCACTATATAAAGCTGTTTTGCTCTACATTTCTGACAGTAAGGAGATACTAATTTACCTGTAAGCCTTTTTAACCTCCCTTTTAAACGAACAAGCAAGCAACTCTCCACACCAACCACAACCCTCCTTCTAGTTATTTCTGGTTTCTTATTAAGAATTTTGGGACGTCTCCCCTGCAGAGCCTCCCCTCTGTAGTAATATCCACAGTGCTCTCACTAAGCTAAAATGGAAGACTGACTCCAAACACTTTATGAACCAAAACCTTGGGAAAAATAGAAGGCTTCAGCTCCTGACCTGTCTCTATGCTTTGGCCTGGGTCAGAGTGGTGTGTTTTCTGGAATGAGATGACAGCAAAGGACTTGATTGCCTCCTTGAGATTCAAAATGCATCACACTGCAAAGAAAGCAACCAAGTAATTAGGAGGCTTGGTTAGAAGTTTTGAGCCTGTCTGGCTCTCAAACAGGATACATGGCCACTGATGAGGAATTCTGGGTGGGATTTCCAACCAATTTTCACCTAGCCCATGGATGGGGTCTTACAGCCTATCCTTTTGCAAAAGTTTAATATGATCCTCAGCAAGCGTTGACTGGAATCGCAATTGTTAGTTGTTGCTTAGAGATCTCAGGTGATGGCAGTTGATGGCAAGGGGAAATCCTTGTTAAGAGGAGAACCCCTGCCAAGACCTGATTGCAGCAAATTGCAGATCACAGCTGTGGCAAAGGCTGAGAAGTGGCAAACAAACCACCTCTAAGTTACTTTAGTTATGAGAACATCATTGTCTCAGACAAGGTATAGTATAGGTTGTTCCATCTTTAGATTTCTTTGCCTACTAATTTGTAGAACCCTCCATCTAGCAGTTTACCATGTAATTTCCTTTTGCTGCAATGTTCCTCTTCAGGCTACCTCTCATTCCCAGCCAAGGAATGAGTAAGGTAACGTTCATAGGCATGCCTGTTGCCTGTGAAATTGTGTGTTAGAATGTGAGTTCCCCAATGTTTAATTCAACTCCATCATTTTTTTAAAAAGAGAACAACTTTGTGAAAAATCTGCTTTTCAATGTGATTCTGAAATCTCTGTTGCCTTTGCTTGGATTCCATATTGTTTAGTAAATATCTCAATATTTTGTGTTCAGAGACTGTCCTTCGGAAGTGGTCAACTCATAGGGATTTCCCTAGATCAGAAAGATTTATTGACAGAGTAGCATGAAGGACACAAAACAGTTATAGAAAGGGAGCACTGTAGCTAACAAATGTCCACCTAATGGATGTGAATAAATGAAAGAGTACTGGAGATTCTAGGTCTAGGAGAATAAGAAATATGAACTTCAGTTTATCTTCTCCCAACCTTTCACTAGTCTGTATTCAGGAGACCATCCTTTGAAGGCAGTAGACAATATTTAGATATGCATTACAGTTTTTAAGAACATCCCTAAACCTGACTTGGTAAAGTTTTGATATATTATCAGATTCCTTGATTGTTTCTTCCCCAGTCCTTGCTGCTCTCACTTGGGCAGTGGAGGGAAACACCAGGAAATCCTGCTACAGAGACTGTGTGCAGACCTGCTTTAGTCTCATGCACCAAACAAGGGCCTTCCCTTAGCCTTCACTTACATTCTTCTGTGAGTACCTGGATCTCTTACATGTGCTGATGAACTCTGCAACAGCCTTCTGGCTCATGAGCCTCATATGCCAAACGCAGCTTGGCATGCATTTATCACATGACCTGGCTTGGAGAAAGGCCCATCTTCCTCAGGTGGGCTGACACATGAGTTTCACATACTGCAACTCCACTGACTTGAGATGTGTCTATGTGTAAGGTGGTAAAGGTACATCTTCCTCTCTGTGTGAACATGTTTTTATCTTCCAGTTTCTGAAAAGTAGGGCTCTGTTGTCCATATCCAAATACTTATATGTTCTTGTTTCATTTGCGATGTTGGATGTTCCTTTTAGGGGTTTAAAGAAACCTTTATTCACTCTGAGAAACAGATGACACATGAGCGCAGCTGAGTAGCAATGCTGAGTTCACTTTTTAGAGCACAGTATTCCCAGAGTGTTAGACATACTTGTGAATACAGCCTTACAGCCCCCTTCCTTCCTTACCAGCCAGGAAAGAGGTAAGTAGTTACCTGTATTTTATACTTTAGCAAATTGCGACTTAGATAATTTGTTTCTAGTTGCAAAGCAAGTCGCTAGAGGAATTAGAGAGGGAACTTAAGAATCCTATGCCTATAACCCCATTAGCATTTTTCCTTAGACGTATAAAGTCCACATGTGCATGGATCTGTACTTGGCATATAATTTTCACTCAGCTCTGTGTGTTTTCTGTTTACCCATCCAAAGACTGGAAATGGTGATAATGCCAACCTGACAGGTATTATCTGGAGCTTACAGTTTTGTAAAAAATGCTAATTGATCAAGGTAAGAGTCTTGCTGATTAAATGCTTATCTACATGACTGTGGGAAATATGAGTAGATGCGTTCCTGTGCTTGTGTGTTTGTAATTGTCCTTTATCATCTGTGCTGTCCACAGACTCCCCCCCAGAGAGGTGTGGGCAGAGGCGCAGTATGCCCAGCGGGGTCACTGAGAAGAACCCCACCATGGAGCCCGCTGCCACAACGCCATTCCGGGTCACGGTAAATGCCTCCTCCTAGCCTAATGATTTTTATGGGTTTTTGCCAGCAGGGAGAACAACTTGCTCATCTTGAGAGAAGATATGGTGTACGTGAAACTATTTGGTTGCCTATTTTTAAGTAAATGTGCATTAGATACTGTTAGCCATAAGCAACTGCAAAGGATTTCTTGGTAAAGCAACAAGGTACGAATTTAAATCTGGAGCAGGTTTGGGTAGGTTGTTTCACTTGGGAGACTTCCCTGGTGAGGTTTAATTTGTGAATCCTATGGTAGTCCAGTATATTCATACGTATATTTCTTGGTCTGGAACTAAACAGTAGTATAGAGAAAATCTTCTGTAGAAGAACATATCTTTACTTAAAAATGAACCACCAGGCTGGTGGTTCCCTATAGTCTGATATCCCCTCTCCAACAGGAGCCGAGAGAAGCCATTCAGTGTTTTCTGATTCCTCAGACACCTTGCTTTAAGATGCTCTGCTTATATCCCTGTTTCATTGTGATCACAGTAGGTAAAGAATGGAAGGCCATTTGAGGAGTGGAAGAGAGCAGCACCACTAACAGGAGTAGCTGCGATACCAAGCATAAACAGGGTCTTTGAGGTTCATGGGGAAGGGCACTACTCTGTCCGTGTTAAAGAAGGGATCTGAAGACCCAAAGAAGTCAGAGTTAGCGGTTGAACAGGGGTGCTGACCCCTAGTTCTGTGATGTTGCAGACGATAGAGTAGTAGCAAACAGTCCCATGGTAGTGTTTGGAAGTGGAATTAGTCTAACTACAGGACTCCTCTATCCCTACTCTCTCTGCGCTCCTACAAGATAAGCTGTCTGGTCCAGTTGATAGCTTTAGAAGATAGGCTCTGTCGTGCCTTGGAGGTCGTTCTGGGGTGAGTTAAAAGTTTTTGTTTCTTCTTCAGTTAGAATGTGCACAGTAATACTTATTACTGCCGTCCTCTCCAGTTTAACTCATCTCTGTAACATCCTGTAGATATTAGGTAGGCTTCCGGAATGGATCACATTAATTTTAATCACAAGGATTTCTTTGTCTAAAGAATAGTATCAAACCCCAGTAATTACTTAATTTAGGAGCACACTCAGCTGAAAAATGGAGGCACAATGGTGGAATCAAAATAAACCTTTTTTTGAAAGCTGGCAATAAGGATCCATCCAAGAGGAGCTGATTTTTTTGTAATGCATCATTAGCCTAGTCATATTTGTAGTTAATGAAATAGAGCCGCGAGAGATTGGGGCTTTTTAATCAACTGAGGTTACCAAGATCTTTTGGGTAATGTTTGGGGTAACCTCCACTAAAAATAAGAGAGAAGATTTTTTAGAGATTTTCAAAAATAAGTGTAAGCATAAAATATACACAGCTGGAGATGGATATACCTAATAGGAGCAACAGCCCAGGCAATCAGCAGGTTCTCTTTCAAGAGGAAAATGTCTGCTGTATGTGCATAATAAGTTTGCAAACAGGCATTTTTATTTAGAGAAGAGGCAAATGCTCTTGGAGCTAATTTGCTCAATATATATTGTTTTCTCTCCAGGCCACACCTACTTTACAGGCTTAGCTTCTTCATAACAAACCTAGATGGGTAGAACCAGATTTTCAAAGGAAAGACAATGGTGCAATCTAAAAAAATATCTGAGCACACCCAGTTCACCTGAGAACATTTGCACTGATGAATGAATCACTAATAGCTGTTTGTCAAGTAGTTTATTTTAATTCTAGAAACTGTAAGTTTGTGAATGCATAAGATTCTTTGTGGGCTTTATATTCTGTAGCTATTATTATATGCAAACACAGGCTGAATATATATGATTTTTTTTTTTTGGTACTATACTATTTGCTAAATGAAAAGGGAAGAAGCGATCAAAGCTGTGACAGGACGGCAGGGGATGAGTTCTGTTTTGAAGGTGGCATACAGCATGTGGCAAATACTGAAGTCAAGGAAAAAGAAAAACAATGGAGTATGAAGTGTTTGTTAGCATTTGCTGTAGGGGCATGTTTGGTTTTATCTTTCTGGAGTTGATGAAAGTTATTCTACTAACAAACAGTTCCCTGTTCCAAGAGGTCAAAACACAGCAAGATCATCTTTTGGTCCGACTCCCCCCTTATGAAATCACCTTTCTGCTAAGTGAGGTGCATCTTGTGTCACTGCCAATAGGAAAACATTTTTCTCTAATCTGTGTGTTCCACAAGACATATGCCATCTATCTGAATTAATTATCAGTTGTAAACGTTCTGAAACTCCGAGTATGGCAAGCAGAAAAAGAAAACAGTAAAACTAACCAAATAGGCATGCTTTTGCTTTGTGCCTTTCGTTTACCAGAATCTATCTGCTCCAGTAAATGTATATCTTTGAACCTTAAACATTGTACTGCTTGTTGATAAAAGAGACAGAGAATGAGGGAAAAATCTGGATTCTTCTGAACACAGAGGATTTGGGGGTATTTTTCCTAACTTACTTCTTGTCAGTGGAACTAAAATGCTGTTTATTCCTGCTCCAATGGCATGTATCCTGCTGTGTGTTTTTAGAGAAGTCATTCCTTTCTTTAAGCAGTTTAGCTTATGGTAGTGAGATAGCCTATCTGAGATATGGTTACTTGCTTTGGCTGGTTCCGTTATTCCGTATGGATTAAATAAGGGCAGTCATCATATGGATCATACATAGCATTTGTCTTCTCTGTGTTACAATGTGTTCATCTCACTTCTGTTCCTGCTTAGCCCTGTGAATGTTATTTTCATTAATATGCATGGCTTCATTACAAACACAATTTTAATGACTGCGTAGATTTCAGCAGATGTCAGACCTAAGAAATATATTCTACCTCACCTTCTTTCATTAACCAGAAGAGGGACATTAATAGTCAGTCCACTGCAGCCATTGGGAATAGTAATTAGTGTTGTAGTTTAGTGGTAATGGGATTATTACTTTTGAGCCTGCTGCTGTAGGTTTTGATGTCGTAAACTTTTCACATGTTACAGCTGATTGTTCTTCCCTGACATTTCCATCCTTCTGCTACTGAGTCTCCAAGGGATGAATAAGATCAGGAGCCACTGGATTCAGCTATTTAGCAGTGTTGCACTCTGTTACTTACTTTCATTTGAAATCCAAAGCGATCTAGGGTGGAAGTGCCTCCCTTGCCATACAGAAGTTTGCCAAGCAAATGAAAAAAGGGCATTTGAAAAACATCAGTTTATGCTGGTTTTTGAGTCCAATTCAGCGTGATTCTGCCCCTTAGATGAGGAGTCCCAATTAATAAGTATTCCAAGAAAAGTCATTGTCTAAGGATAGAAAAAGAAAGATAGAAAGAAGACTTGGTTTAGCATGAGATTGTCAGTTAAAATGTTGCCTGCTTTGGTAGTGACCTAGAGTTATCTCCACTGAGAAATGGGTAAATGGCAGCAGCTGATAATGCTCAAGTACCAGAGGCATCGATGCAAGCAAGGGCAACGTCTGGACTCCTCCACACCTGAGGGGAGATGAGTCAAGCCTTGCTGTTGCCTGACATGTACCTGCTGCGAGAAGACAGAGAGGCATTTAGTGTCTCTGCATTGAATCCAAACAGCTTAAAATGTGGGATGAGTTAAACCTGAAACTTGTGCTGTGGCTTAATAACCTATGCAAAACACAGAGACCAGAAGAGGAGAAACTGCACTGCGTATTGAATCCTTCTATTCTTCCCACCTTGCAGGGAAATCATGAGCAGGGATGGAATCCCTGAGTGTTGCTGTGTGAACGACTTCTCTTCCATCTGAGTACTGCCATCTATTGACTGCTTTTATTAGAGCTTGATTTATTTAGTTCTCTCACTGTGCAAATGTTCCAGGCCAAACAGCTGTTTCCAGTAGGAGAAGTCCAAACTGCAGAAGAACTTGTGCAAAAGAGAGGGACTGAGGGACTGGATAAAGAAGCCAGAATGATTTCCTGCTGTTAGTCCACCTCACTGATTGTGCAAGAGTCTCCTTCCTAACAGAGCAAACTAATATAATGTGTGTAATCTGAACATTTTTTAAAATGGTTTCAAAATGCTTCTCTGCCTTTCTCACAGAGCTGTGTTGAGGATCCTCACCTCTTGAGAGGAACCATCTGTATACTCTCTCTTCCCTCCAAAATGCTAATAGAGTTTAGGATTTCCTTCTCTTCAGCTCTTTAATACACAATTCTAATATCAATCATTTTCTATCTGGTATCTTAGAAAACACTTCTGTGCTGCTTCTGGTTGAAGCCACATTGACTAGAAAAAAGATATTTCAGCTATAAACTACATGATTAGGCTGTCACCTTGGAATTATGTAAATTGGGTTAGAGAAGAAACAATTCTCAGAGAAGCTTCAGAGGTTGTACTCGGTGATATAGACACACTTTCCACCAGACCATTGTCAGTTATGAAGATCAGTATTATCTCCCTATTTTCTCTTCATCTGTCTGCCTGTTGTTTATTGTTCTGTACTGAGAGTGTGATGTCTTGGAGCAAGAGCTGTCTTTTTGTGCTTTGTTTGTATACGCTTCCCAGTTGGGGCACAGGCTTAGATTCATTTTCACTACAAATGATTAAGCCTATATATTTACAATTAGTCATTTTTAAGTGTGAGGATGATGAGAAGAGGGATTACCAGTTTCTTCCAGGAAGCTTTCCTGCATCTGCCTAGGGACTGGTTATAAAGCCCATCTCTGCTGTATCACGGCGCCCTGAGCTGCTCAGCTGGGTGCTGATTGGAAAGACTGTAGCACATAAGTTATTGTTTTGCCTTTCAGGTCCCCTACTAATGAAGTAGGGAATTTATAGCCCCAAAGACTATAGGTCTCTTTAGGTTTTAGTTCTCTTCTGATCTCCTTGTAATGCTAACTTGTTTCACAACACTTTTTCTGTCTGTTTGGGTTGGGTGCACAGCTGAATTTCCGGTGATATATTATAAGCTACTCTTAAGGCATCCTTCCTGCTATCCTGCTTTTAATCCCTGATAAATGTAGTATTAAGTACTAATGACATCATACCAGTA